GTGTGTGTGTGTGTGTGTGTGTGTGTGTGTGCGTGTGTGCATATGGTTTTAAGTGGTAAGATTATATTTGTTCTCAGTTACTTAAAAGATATTTTTCATATCCTTGGAGCCACAAATCTTTCAGGTCTCCTGAGTGCTTGGATCAAATGCAATTCTGGACCACAGAACTATGAGACATCAGTAGAATGTAGCATTCTATCGTAGAGCTGTTATCTCAGAAGTAGACGGGAAAATAATGACATACAGGGAAAGCAGACTGTATTTGTAGGATGTAGAATTCTTGAGGAAAGAGAAGGGCAAAGTTTAAATAGCCTTGGCCCTCACATATCTAAAGCAGATTAGCTCTTAAAAACTAGTTAGGTATATAGACTTTTTTCTTATATCACTTTTTTTTTTTAATATCTCAGCTGTATTGAGGTATAATTGACAAGTGAAAGTGTAAGATATTTAAAGTGAACATCACAGTGATTTCATATGCACATGCCTTGTGAAAGGACTTCCTCTGCCTGGTGAATTAACATACCATCACCTCAGATGTTTATTTTTATTTGTTTGTTTTGTTCAGAATATTTAAGTTCTACTCTCTTAACAAATTACAGTTATACCATACAGCATTATCAGGTATAATCATCATGTTTTACCTTAGATCCTCACACATTATGGTTTCATGGATTGGAGGACCTAATATTATAAAAACATCACTTCTCCCCAAAGCAATCTATAGACTCAATGCAATCTCAATCACAAACCCCAACAGTGTGTTTTTTTTCCTCTTGAAACTGGACAAGGTGATTCTAAAATGTATTGAGAAATATAAAAAGCCAAAGATGAGTAAAATAACTCTTGAAGAAGGTAAAAAGACTCTCTCCACTGTGTGCCAAGACCTACTAAAAAGGCACTGTAGTGCTGACCAGAGATAGACACATAGACCAATGGGACAGACTGGAAAGACCAGATATAGACACAAGCATAAAAAGGTGCTTAATTTATGACAGAAGTGGCATTCCAGAGTAATGGTCAAAGACAGTCTTTTCCATAAAGGTACTGGACCAGTCTGATATATCCTTGGGGGGGGGGGGGGGGGGGGGGGGTTAAAAGAAATTGGATGCCTACCTCACACCATATGCAAAAAACTCCAAATGGATACACACTTAAATGTAAAAGATGAAACTTCAAAGCACACTCACACATGCGTATACATATGCTTTATATATGTATACACACTCATACCTTTATGACATCAAAGTATTGAAAGATTTCTTATATGCCATAAAAATCTGTAGTCAAAAATCATATATTTGGTAAAATGAAGAATATCTCTTCATCAAAAGATAACATAAGGAAGACACATAGCTACACAATGAGAGAACATTTTGGCTATACATGTAATTGATAAAATATTAGTGTCCAGAATATATAAAAATACTTAAATCAGTAAAAGACAATCCATTCTGAGAAAAATAGGCAAAATGACCTCAATAGGCTCTCCACAGAAGAGGAAATAAAAATAGCCAATAACCGTAAGAGTTCTCAATTTCCTTAACAACCAAAGAAATGCAATTAAACCATAATGAGATTCCACCTCATAGCCATCACCTTAGCTCAAAATAAAAATATTAAAAAAAAAAAAATACTGGCAGTGTTAATGAGGATGGAGAGGGACAAAAATTGACGATAGAAATTGCAATATGTTGGGGCGCCTGGGTGGCTCAGTCGGTTAAGCGGCCGACTTCAAGCTCAGCGATCACCATGGTCCCGTGGGGAATTTGAGCCCAGCGTGTGAAGACTCTGTGCTGACAGCTCAGAGCCTGGAGCCTGTTTCGGATTCTGTGTCTCCCTCTCTCTGACCCTCCCCCATTCATGCTCTGTCTCTCTCTGTCCCAAAAATAAATGTTAAAAAAAATTAAAAAAAAAAAAAAAATTGCAATATGTTACATAGTTAGGAGTAGTTTTAATACCCTGTAGTACACCTGAAGAGCCATAATGCCTACCTTATGACGCAGCAGTTAGGTATATACGCTAGAGAAGGTTGGCACACAGAACACAAAGGTGTGTTTTTTTTTTTTCTCCGTAACTTAATTTTTGGAAACTTGCAAGCCTACAGAAAAGTTGCAATATTAATACAATGAATGTGATGAAGTCTCCCTGGATAGCAGCTAGTGGAAAGAAGTAAGTGATACTTGCCCTGATATCCCAACTTCACTTACTAGCTGTGTGGGCAATCTGTAAAGATCTGTGAGCCTCAGTTACCTCCTCCGTAAATTGGAAGCAATAAAATGCCTGCCATGTTGGGTATTGTAAGAATTAAATGCATTAATGTATATAAAGCCCTGAGCATAAATGCCTATAACATAGTTGCCCAGCAAGTTATGGCTGCTGTTATTAATATTTTGTTGTTGTTAAAAGTGATGACACATTTTATTTTTTTCAGAACCTTTTAATGACAGCACATTTACTGACGTGTATTCATTTTTCGTGTTTCACTACAGAATGCAAAATTATTCCAGAGAAAAATAGCCTTTTTTTCATCCTCTTTTACTGTTTTCTTTCTCATTTTCCTATTACAACTTCAATATTAGAAAGTGCAAACCAGTGAGAATACATGCCCTTAACAAAAATTTTTTATAATTTCAAATAATATATAGAATTAAAAACTACTTTTGAAGAAATAAAAGTATGATTTTATCAAAAATAAAAGGAAATGGAAGCACAAAAAAACTTACATAACTTTATCAAGAAGCAACATTAGAAATAATGTGTAGGTTTTCTCATTTCTGGCCCAAGATCCTGCACACTGAGTTGTAATATCAGCAGTTATTTTTAAAGAAAACCAAATTAATTAAATAGCACTAGCTCTTAGCTCTAACGGTATGCCTTCCTTGCCTGGACAAAATGAATGAAATCACATGAAAAACCTTTGAAATCGCATTAAAAGCCCTTTAATCTCCAATGAAACTTGATTCTGTGTCTGAAGTCTTTCTCACTGACCCCCAGACCCACAGTCATCTTTTCCTCTTGGGAACTCCTGCCCATACCCCACTATTTATGGTTGCAAACAGATTACGATCATATTGCCACCTTGTACCATTACATATCTCTTCGTAAACATATCCTCTATCTCCAATTAGCTTGCATCTCCTGGGGATCCAGACCTTTTCTTATGTGCCTTCGTATGTTCTTGAGTGCAAAAAAAAAAAAAAAAAAAAAAAAAAAAAAAAAAAAAAAAAAAAAAAAAAAAAAAAAAAAAACCTACCCACATTTTAAATATCATTTTCTGTCCTTAGTAACACCTAACATAGTGCTTTGCACAGACACAAGATAAATGCATAAGGATGACGACTGTCAGATTGCAGTTGTAAAAAATAGAACGAGTCATAGCTATGGTAACACAGGCATAGGCTCCATGGATTCTGCCTCGAAAGCAAATGTCTCTCTTCCTCTGTTCCAGAAAGAAGCCGTAAAGCGAGTGTTCTCTGGCATTCAGCCTACAGGAATCCCCCACCTCGGCAATTACCTGGGAGCCATTGAGACCTGGGTGAGATTGCAGGAGGAGCATGGCTCAGTGCTGTACAGCATTGTTGACCTACATTCCATCACTGTCCCCCAAGACCCGGCTGTCCTTCGGCAGAGCATCTTGGACATGACCGCTGTTCTTCTCGCCTGTGGCATAAACCCAGAGAAAAGCATCCTTTTCCAGCAATCTCAGGTCAGCTTCTCAGATGAGAACCAAGAAAACCTGTACTTTCAAATTATTTGAGGAAAAATGTGAATGGTTTATGTAGCTCCTATTAATGATTCTTTTTAAATTGTTGAAGTGACTTCATCAAATGCAAAGATTTCATTGTATTTATTTTTATTTTATTTTATTTTATTTTTTAATCTTGATTTATTTTGGAGATGGAGAGACAGAGCACGAGTGGGGATGGGGCAGAGAGAGAGGGAGA